TCCAATGCTTGTCAATGCCAGAGAGAATTTGGATCTTAGGCTTGATTTTGATTGTAGTGACACAGATGGTTTACTCACTATTACCTTGGAAGATTTAGAGGCAGGCCTTRAATCATTATCACAATGAGATGGGATCAATTCTCGAATTTACAAAGATGCTTGAAATCATTTCATTAACATCTTGTCACAATCTTCAAAATTCAAGAATAACAGGGCGCATCTACATAAGTCCATTTTCATTGCATCTCCACTCTACACATTCTTTTATCTCTTGGCATTGTGCAGCCTGCCGTTTTCTTTTCTGTATGGACCTGGTTACAACCACAGCAGAAACGGAACCTGGACTATTTTAGGTGGGGTCCTGTTACTTTAGGAGCTTTTTGTTTTAGGTGGTGCTTACAAATTCAACCATCTATCAAGTCCTTTGGAACCATTTTTGTCTTCGAAATTTATAATTTTGAAGTCCARAAGCGGTCTTCTGCAGCAGCTGATAGGATATTTCTTTCCAAATTTGTTCCCATTTTCTGTACACAACAGACATGAATAATAAGCAAATTGTTTAGTATTCTTCATTTCACATATTCAAACTCCTTTCCTTGTGCTTTTCTTTCTCTGTTTAATCAGGTTGATTGCATTCTTCTGGAAGCAGAACAATGGTAATGTTACAAGGCTGCACTTTTTTTTTCTCTCTTTGCTAGCATCTCAAGGAAAATGTTCGCAAATGTTTTTAGAAATTAATTTGAAAACGATGCCTGACATGAAGTATTTAGCCTTAAAAAAGCAGGCGGTCATTTTTTTAATTGCACTGTACATCTTTGTATTTGTACTCTTTCCAAACTGAGCATTGGAAGAAAACACCCCATACTTGTGGCATAAAGCATCGCAATTAGCTTTTCTTTATCGACTAACAATTTCTAACAGTATTGCAATACGAGGAAGAAAACGCCCCATACTCTTTCCAAACTGCTGCCTTGGGTCGATCAAGGCTTCGCAAGGAAAACAGATATTCAGTAGCTAGGTTAGTCTACTTGCATATTTATCCAAACTAAGCCCAAAATATAATGCAACCAACAAAGAGAAATACCCGTTTTTTTATTATGGATCTTGACGAAAAAACGTATTCTACAAAAAGGGTCCATCTTTTCTCTTCTTTTCTTCCAAGGGGCTCTGGGTTTCTTTGAATGAGGCAAATTGCATCAAGACTTCAAGTAATGCAAAAAAAACAAAACTAGCAGCTGACCAAGGAAAAAAGATGAGAGAAGAAAAAACTCTATCCTCAAATTGAGCCCATGGTGAGGAGAAAAAGGAATCGTTACAACATACCAAACTTGGATAATGCAGATTGGAACAAAGCTGAGAAAGCCTGAGATGTACTTTGATCATCAGCTTTGATTTTTATCTGTGCCTTTGATGATGATGTATTAATAATACATTCTACAAGAAAGAAACCTGCTGATTCCTCTGCTTTCTGTGCAAAAAAGAAGAACTTGAAATTTGGAGTTTGACCACCTGAGGCAATGCAATGGATAGAATGACCTTGCATGTGCCGGATGAGGGCTGGAGGAGTCATCAATGCTGCAGCTCCTTGAGGGTTTATGGAGCATTCCTGCATGAATGGTAAATTGTTTTGACAAGATATCAATGTATGGAATGACCTGAACAAATTATTTTTTGGATGAATGGTGAGCATAAGAGGGAGAGGTTCCCTCAAAGATGAAATTAGTACAAAAGTACGGAGTAGAACAAATTAACAGAACCAAGACCAAGATAAAGGAAATACATCTCTGAAGTGAGGGATAGCATGGCTAAATAATAAACAAATGCTTCTATAAGAAAGAAAAAGAACAAAACAGCCCTGTTAGCGTGCATTAGGCATTGTGGTTTCCACTTTTTATATGGATAGACAAGAATTTGGTAGACTTCAGGTTTTAGCCATAAACAATCGATAAAAATATTATAGAAGTGTTGACTAGATACTTGAGGATCACAAAGAACTGTGGACTGATGATTAATTTGGTTGATCTCAGAGTTATTCTAAACTTTTATTTTTCTGTGTTAACCAAAGCACTAATAGACAATAGATGACCTGACTATTCATGGATGGAAAAAAAAAGCAGCATATGGACAATTGGTTATTAATGTTAAGACCAATAAAAAACAAACAAAAAAGAACAAATCATTTTATAACAGAACCAAAACAATGATGACAAAAAGTTAAAGATGAAAAATTCATCAACCCTGGCACAGCTAATCATTGGAACATCCCAAAGATTGGAATCTTAAGTTCTTACAAAAACAAAAACCCATGCAACCAAACATGGAGCTTGGAAAGACATCCATCATGCATGCTTTAAAAAAAATGGCTAAAATTTATCTATA